CAGTGGACATGCTGGGGAACCTGCTCTTAACAGATCTGGGGAAGCAGGGAGAGGAGTAGAGATGCATATTTCAAAGGAAGAAGTAAAGACAAAGTCCAGAGCAGACCTGCTCAGTGGGCTGAACCATAAACTTTCCAGTAAACTTATCAGTTCTCAAATCGCTTCAGTTGGACTGTTACACTTCACACATTTTGTGGGACCTTTCATCCGAGGCTGCTGAGCAGTAGTGTACGTATCTTTTGTGTAAGGCTTCAAGTGAGGCTTTGCTATGTTTGTGGGTCTTACTGGGCATTGTTCCTTGGCAGAATGGTGTTTGTTGAAGGAGTGAATCACTTCTGGGGGATTGATGCTCTTGAGACATGATCCGTGAGGAACCATTCCGATGTGCCAGGAGGTGTGCGGGGAATCTCAGGGTGAGCCTAGAGCCACACAGTCCGACAGATGATGGAAATGTGTGTGTGTAAGTGTGGCTCATGGGCCTGAGCAGTTTTTAATTACATGTAACTTGAATGTAAAGTTTGGGAAATACTTTCCTAGAGGACCAAGATCATAATGTAACTGCTAAACACTATTCACCTCTACATGCAGGCTGGGGGGTGGCACAGTAGCCCTCTCCACAATTCTTCCAAGAGGAACATTACAAAATCAATACATAGTGAATGAGCCAAGATACAGACTGAAAATTCAGTTCTCCCAGGGTCAGAAGCAGGGAGAGCAAGCTGACAAGACCATGACTGGAATTAATGCTGTTGATCAGATCACACTGGTTAGCTCTGCTATTCCAAGGGCTCAGCAAAGGCCAGTGCTGCTTAATATATACATTGTCTTCTATATAAGTGTTTTATATACATTGTCTCATTTAAGCCTCATAACTCTATGAGTGGGGTGTTATTATTTACATTTTTAAAATGTGGAAACAGGAACAGAGAGATCCCTAACTTGCCCATAGTCACACAGCCAGTAATGTGCAAAGTCGGGCATTAAATGCAGCACCTCAGGACTGCAGAATCCCTGTTTTGACTGTTTGCTCTGCTAAACAGAGGTAATGCGCAAGGCCACCTGCATTACGTGGCCCATTGCAACATCCACCACCCACCAAGATTGTGCTGGTGAGGCAGTCTCTCAGTGGGGCTGTGTTGCAGATGATCTTGGTGGAGGGACAGGACCTTGAACACCCAAGGATACCTAACGCCTCTTGCTTTGATTCCATCCAAAGTTTTCATTGATACAAGCTTAGGACATAGCCAGGTGCACAGCACAGTCTCTCACTCAAAGTTTACCCAAGCGCCATTTTTGGCCCTTGAGAATCTAAGCAAAATCTGGGTTGTAATTTGACTCACACTGTAGAACTGCCTGAGAGAGAAGCTGTCTGTCACCGCGCACCAGTGTGATGATTTTATCTTTATTCACACTTCATTACATTGGCATTTGTAAGTTTGGTCAGAGGGAGCTCACGAGTCTAATTAACCCAAAGACACTGGCAAGGTCCTATTTCTGGCCAAGAAAGAGCACATTCAGTGAGGAAGTGCTACCCGAAGGGGCCTCCCGGTGGGGCTGCCCGATGAAACACAGGACACTCAGGTCCATCTGAGCTGCGGATCGACAATGCACACTCTTTATAGCGTTAAGTGTGTCCCAGACATTGCATGGGACATACTTACACTAAAAGAGCATGGTTGCTGCTCTGAGGCTCACATGTGGCTGGGCGTCCTGTACTCTGTCCGGCAGACTCCTAGGCGACGGCAGGATGAGAGGGCTGGACGTAATCTCCCAGGCCACAGTGCCTCTCACTCTGCTGTAGCTGAGGATGGAACTGGCTGTAGGCGTTGGGGGAAGGCTGCCCAGAGAAGGAGGGCTGACTGTCCGGGGTGCAGGGACACAAGGGGGCGGACAGAGGGCGCCGCCAGGAGGGCCCGCCCGAGCTGCTGGCTCTGCGTGGTGGGCCAGGAGGGAGGCCCGCTCAGGCTGGGAAGGCTGTGCTGGGGCCTTGGGTTCACTTCTGCGGGTCGGCAGGCCCTCTGGCCAGCTCAACGGCACAGTCCAGGTGTCATTAATCACACAGCGGTGCCAGCCTAGCTCCTTTCTTCAGGAAAGCCGGGAGGGGCAAGCGAAACATGCCACACTGCGTCAAGCCCAGGAGCAGCCAGGAGCCTCAGGCGCCCTTTGTGGGCATGGGGGGCATCTGCAACATCAGGGTTCTCTCTGTGGAGGAAGCAGGAGGGCTGGGCTCATCCCAGAGGTTCTGACCCAGTAGGTCTGGGTCGGCTGGAGAATATGCTTTTCCGACAAATTCCCAGGAGCTGCTGTGGGAACTGCAGTGCGGCCCACGCCGGGGGGTAGCCCCAAAGCTGTGCTTTGGCAGCATTAACGTGCAAACAAACCCTCTGGGGATGAGGCTGCAGTGAAGGGGCCCCAGGCTCCGCAGGTCCAGGAAGCAGCCTGAGCCTCCACGTTTCCCACGGGCTCCTAGGAGATTCACTGAGCTGCCAGGCTCTGAAACGGCACGTCTCGGGCCAGGCTGTGGGTGAGAGCCCCTGGGCAGCTTCTATATTTCCAGTGCCTCAGCCGCACTCCTGACCAATCCCATCAATTTCTTGGGGGAACCCAGGCATTTGGATTCATAAATACACGATTCCAGTGAGGAGCTCAAGGACTATTTTTAGTGCCAGTGCCCCCTGGGGACACACACACATTCCTGCTCCTGTGTGTGGAGGCTGACCAGAGAGGCAGTGTTAAAACTCTGGCCTCAATTAGAGGCCGCTTAGCTGTTAATTGCCACAGTTCCAAAGAGATGGAGCCGATGAAAGCTTTTCCTGGCAAAGGGGAGCTGGTAAGTGCTGCATCGAGCTGCCAGGCACCCACCTGCCCAGCAGGCATCAGTCATTGTTACGATGGTCCACCTGAGGTTTCCCTTCTCCTGAAGATCGTCCTGCCCTGGGTGGCTGCCTACATCTGAACCCCCGGAGAGCAGAGGGTTGGGCTGCCTGTTTGGAGCAGGGAGCTGGGCCAGCTCCCTGTGGGTAGTACCCAGTGCCCCTCACGCCTTGCTTGCCGTGCCTCGGTCACCTCCCTTCTGCGGTGAGAATTGCTGAGACAGTTATAGCCTCCCTGGGTCTGGCCTGGGCTCACATCTCCTCCTGGCGCTGCTCCTCAAGCTGACTTTGACCCTCTCGGTATGTTCACAGCCCGAGTCTCCAGGCATCTGCCCACTGCAGTCTCCGTAGGTGGAGCTGCGCGCCTCGTCTCAGAAACCGAACTTCACGGCCCAGAGACAGCGCCCCAGGCGGCGCGTGCCAGCGGCTAGTCTCTGCTCACTGAACTTGGTCTGGCTCTGAACAAAAGCTGGAGGCTCTCTCTCCCACGTGCTTGCTCTAGTCCAGGGCACTGCATCCTATCTTGACCTTGAAGGACTGTTCTTATCGCTGACTTGTGACGTCTTACACTCCTACATCTCACATTGTTAATTTGCCCCATTTCTCTGCTGGATGAGATCTCACATCTGACGCTGTCATTCCATACAATCATTCTTCCCCAGCTTTATGACATACACATTTTTAATAAGTCACCTTTTGTGGCTTCAGTCACTAATTAAAATGTTGAGCAATGGGGCCAAGAGGCGAGCTTTGCAATAGGCCCCTAGGAACGTCTCAGGCTGACATGGATTCTTTAATCAGCACCGCCCCTGGGCACAGCCCCACAGTGGTTCGCATGCACGCCCAGACCCTACTTCTCCACTTGGCCCACATGCGTCACTAAGGACCGTGTTAACCTCTGCGTAAGGTATGGTTGTTCTGTCTACTGCCTTTTTCTAATCAACCTCATCTTACAAAACAGGACACGTAGTCTGAAATGGTTTGTTCTTGGGAATGCACACTGGCTTCCAGTGGCTGCTGCTTCCTTATTATTCACTCTAAAACTATTCCCAGGATTAACAGCACACTCAGTGGTCTGTGGTACCCAGAACTCACTCTTCTCTAACATTAGATGCAAAACTGTCTCCAGTATTTCCCACCGTTTACACCTTTTCAATAAAAATTAACAGTGATTCAGCAGTCTCATTGGTAAATCGCACAGTATGGTGGAGAATTAATCTAGAGATGAGCCATTATTTAGAGTTACTAGATTTTTCATTACAATAAATATCTTAATTTGCCCTGGGTTTTAGTTTCCTCTCCTGAGTGTTTCATCTTTAAAAAAAATGACTCCCATAATTTCCTTGGTTCTATTATTAATTGTGCAACAAACAGAATGTGACAAGAGACAAGACTCTTAGCTCCAGAGGACTAGGCAATAAGGATCATGGATTTTTTTGATGGTTTAAAAATGATGATGTAAATTGACATATGACATATTAGTTGCAGGTGTACAATATGATTCAACATTTGTATAAGATGGTTTGTGTTTGAGATTCATATTCCATTAGAGTAAGAGGTGCCAAAGAACCTCTCTGCTCCCCTGCCCAGGCCTTTTTTTTTTTTTTTGAGATTTACCATCCTACAGTTTATGTTTAGGAGGATGGAACTACTGAACTTGCTTCAAAAAGCCCAAACTCCCAAACATAAGACATTCTTTTCTATATTCAGAAGTTAAGTGATTAGGGTGGAATTTAACTTTTCAGTTCCCTGTGAACAGATGTTATTTTTAGCATCAAGTGTACATAGTAGGCACCATCATGCAGGGGTCAGTCAGCGTTTGCATGTGAGAGCAAATGGGGATGTGGATGGGGGTTGGCAGGTACTCCAGGTAAGTTTAGTTTTTGCTCCAAGCCCCTGGTGAAGACTGTCAGTCTTCGGAGTCTCACCAACACCTTTACGCAAATTCCCACCAAAGTCAAGGGGGGCTGAGTGGAGGGACCTCATTTCTCACCTCCTTCACCTGCCAGGTCTCTCACATTGAGCTTCTGGCTTTTTATGGAAGAGGGGGTGTGCTGTGCTCTTTGTTTTGGTTTTTAAAGGTATTATTTTAGTTGCTTAAATAAGCAAATAAAAACATTCCCCCAAAAGATTGAAACTTGGGTTTATTTCTTTCTGAAGTTTGTACATTTACATATATCATATATGTATTTTAAATCCTTCACTATTTTGCATGATTTCTATTACATAAAAACCATTTAAATGCAATAAATTCGGTTGTTGTAAAACAACAAATTATCCCCAACTTACAAAAACACAGGAACAATTACATTCATGAACATTTGCACAATAGAGAGATGTATCATATACATTATGGCGTCTGTACAGCTCAGGCGACTCACTTGTCTGCACAGGGTAAGTTTACTTCAACAGTGAAATAGGGTCATCTGTATGTACAACTATTTTAACAAAAATAAAGCAACTGTAAAATGTAAACTTAATTTCCAAAATATTCTTTAACAATATCCATATAAATTACCGTTCCATTCAAAAGCTAACCACCATAAATGCTGTAATTTTCCAGGAGATGGTACTTCTTGAGTGGCGGGTGAGGAGGAGGACCAGGCTGCCAGCCCACGATTCAGAACCACCATCTCACTGGAGTCTGCCCACCCGGCAGTCTGGCCACCGCAGAGGAGTAGCCTGCTCTTCGGTCCTGACTACTTTCACGGTTTGCAAGGCCAGGTGGCACCAGGCCTGCAGTGAAACTGAAATGACGGGTAGAGAGAACTCTGAAGGTAAAGGATGTCCCACACTGCCCATCAGTTTGAGCCACGGTAAAGGTAACAAACTACCACAAAGGAATTAAAGAATACAAACTACCACCCTCCCACCTCCCACCAGGAGCCAAGGCTGGCAGTGCCGGCTCTCCACTGTGTGGATTTGTTCTGGAAACGGGCTCCTGAAGCCTGAGGTAGGAGAGAATGCCCCGGGCATTAAGGCTTCCCCAGCGGCTCTCTTCTGGACTAAGCAGGACTGCCGGGCCCTACAGCGTTCCTGGGCCCTTCCCACAGAAATGAAGTGGCACCCATCTCCAGGAACCTGGGGGCTTCAGTCAGAGAATTTTTTAAATACCTTGTCATGTGTCACCCCTGGACTCCGTCACTGTCAGAGTCAGCATCTTGCCTCAGCGGGGTCAACTCATTAAGACAACTGAGTTCCTGATGCTGGAGAAGCAGCATGTAGACCCCAGGATGCGCTTGCTGCTCAGCAGAAGCCCTGGTGGGGTGAAGGCCAGGGAGACGCCCCAGGCTGCAGAGAACGGTCTCAGCCCTGTGGCGCCCCGGCCTGGCTCAGAGGGAGGGGCCTCAGGCCTGCTGCCGTCTGCCAGCTCTGCGGCTGGGACTCCCCAGGACTGGCCTAAGTGGGCTCACAGGGGAACTGGAAGCAAGACTCCAAGATTCTCCATGAACCATCATTTCAGGAACTGAAGGTAAGAACACGACCAGTGAGAGTGTGGCTCTGCCCGGCACAGGGAGGCGCGCTGGGTGCCTTCCCATTTCTATCCTCAAGGTTGGCACTGATGGAAAAGTGCCTAATTGCTCAGTGCGCTTCGGTCTCAGCTCGTGCACATGAGCCTTCTAGAGCCTCCAGCCTAACCACTAGAGGAAGCACCCCAGACACTGGAGCGTGGCTGCCTGTGAATTACAAGGAAGCCTTCAGGTTGGTGGCCAGAAAGATGGGATCTGTGCCCCTCACTTATTTGTTAAAATGCAATGCATCTCAGAGTTGCATATGGAGCTCAACTCTTCCTTGCCTTGGAGAACATTCCTGTGATGTTTCCCACCGCCCATGTTCATCACCTCTTTGGAACACCCTGGCCTTGTGTGTCTCAAGTGTGTATAACCTAAAACATTCACTATGTACACATGTGTGCAAGCATATGTACACTCGGGGGAGGCTCAGATGGTGGGCCTTTCCCCTTCACACCTAAGGGGACAGTGAACGGGCCCTGAATTGTTCAGGAGTGTCTGTCCCACACGGAAGGCAACCAGTTCACACCCGGCCCCCAACCCCCAACTTCAATTTGGTCTTATCAGTCTTGTTCCTACAACTCAAAAAAAGTGTCCTAATGGCATTACAAATCGACGTGCACACACACTCTAGAGTGGATATTATTATCTGTGTCAAATGGTTAACCTGGCTTTATAACCTACATGGCTTTATATTAAAAGTCCAAACGTATCAATGATTAAGGCCCAAAACAAAACTTTGTATTTTTGTTAGTCCTTTTGTCTGTGATTTATAAATCAAATCTATGTTTTTGTAAATCACTATAATTCTTAGAAGGAAACACATTCTTGCAGAACAAAGACCCTGCTGATCAGCCACAGAGCCAGTTCACCGCACGTCAAGAACAGGAAATATGATGTATTTGCAAAAATAGTTTGAGACTGTAGAGTTAATGAGAACAAACTCAAGAGTAATTACCAACACCCGACTGCAGCCGGGAGCTGAAGATGAGTTCTTCCTCCACAGCCCCAGTTCTCAGCAGATACACAGGACAGGCCACTGCACTCAGCCACATACTCCCACACACTCCACTGCTGCTTTAAATATACCAAACATGCTGGTTAATAAAGCTTCAATCTCTAGTTATCTATTTACACACTAAGATAAGCAGTAAGGTCAAACAGCTAAGGCCAATGGCTCTTCTTTGGGGAGAGGCAGGAAGAGACCTAAGTATAAAAATATTAAACAAAGTTTTAAGCTGGTCTGTAGCCTGTCTTACAATCCTTTGACCTGTGACACTAGATGCTAATTTGTGCAACTGCGAACCTAGAATACAGTACCTGATCTTGGGAAGCCCTGATATGCATTAGCAGTGCAGTATTTCTGCAAAGTACAGGACGCGGTGCTAGGAGTGGTTTAACCTACTGGAAGATAGACACAGGTACACAGACGATAGGTGGGTACTTACTTCTTCTGAGAGCTCTATTTTTCTGGACTAATTACAACAATAAAGAACGTGTGCTTTAAAGCAACACATTTTGTAATAAGCCCCAAATTATCAGTTTGACTATATTTAAGTGCTCTTAATACTGAGTCACTAAGACTGCACAGACGGCCCATTTTCTCCTCTTTCTGTACATCCCAAGACAAAATGAGCCACCCCGGGGTCTTGTACACAGTACATGACAGAGTTTTCAAAGCTCAGTCATTTCTGCCCTGGTGAGTCAAAGCTCAAAGATGGGATTTGCTAGCATAAACCCTTACTATTAAAAAATTTCATCAAAATATCATTTGAATTTAAGTTTAATAAAGCAGTACCACTATTTATACTCTCAATAACTATATCATATGCTCAATCCTATGAGGTTTTTACTTGCTTTTCATGTCACACTTGTTATTAAGGACAAAAATAAATTTGATGTACATATTCCAGACTGATATATGATATAGTACATGTACATACACACAACTATAAATGCCCACAAACACAACATTGGCAGAGGACAGGAAGCATTTCTTTGATGCCTGATGGACTATCTATATGAATATTCTCTAAATGCCTGCAGTACTATAGATACACGTATAAATTACAATGGAGGAGCCAAAGAGACTTAAGGACACCTACTGTATATACACTATTTAACTTGCAATATTTTCTTGCCATTGCATTCAAGTCAGCAAACTGATGTGTAGATCCGAGTATTCATGGACCTTGTCTCTGTGAAGGCCTCCATCTGAATGCAGCGGGCCAGCTACTAAGTGGAAGGCTACCCCCTTGGGTTTTGGGTACTATGGGTGCAAATGGGGACTGGCAATGACTTTGGGCATTAGTCTCCCTTTTTAGAGTGAGACATTGAAAAGGATCTGGTAGAAGAAGCAGACACAGAGTGCCTCCTGTCACCTGTTGGGTTATTTGTGGCAAACTACTGATCTTTAACGTCCTCTGAGGTGACTTAAGGTGTAAGATGTCACAGGCTGGTGGGGACATCTGTGGACCCGGGGCAGACTATGGCTGCCTGGGAGGAGAGCTGGCCAGAAAGCTGTGCAGCAAGGTGGGCCCAGGCATCATCTGCCTACGACACTGCCTGTCAGTCACGCAGATGTTCTCTGAGAAGAGTGGACGCCACTTCACCCCCAAGCTGCACCATTTGTCACCACCGAGAAGCCACTGTCCACGAGACTTAGGATGCCACCTTGTTTCTGTGACAGTGTTGATTTTACAACAGGAAAAAATTCTGTCCTTGGAGAAGAGAAGCGAATATTCACTGACGCAGAGGTGGCAACCGCCCTGCTGGAAACCTGCCCAGGTCCATAGAAGCTAAGCCACAGAGCTGTGGACCCACAGGACTAGGGAATGCCTTGGGAGTGCAGGCTGAGAGCAGCTGGACGATGACTATGAGGGAAAACGCCAAAGGAATTCGATTCCAGTGCCAACTACCCCCAAGAAAGACTTGATAGTAAGACAGTGGAAAAGCTTCTCTGAGGCCAATTTCTTTTCCAATTGCCCATGGTTAGGGATAAAGGCAGAGAAGAGGTGCAGCTCATGGCCAAAGCAGTCCGCACCTTAACTAAGAACATCCTCCCAGGCTCCTGGTCTGAGGGAGGGGCAGGGCCAGGGCAGAAATCTGCCTAATAGAGCCCTGGGCGGCAAAGGCCTCCCTCCCCGCTGCTCACGGAACTTTTTCTCCAGCCTCCGGAAGTTCGGCCCAGTGGCGAAATACCAACTCAGGAGCCCCACCCCAGCCTGGCCCGGACTGCCAGCCAATCTCCCTCTTCCAGAACTGTCTCCCCGGCTCACTCTGGCGAGGAGCCTAGGACTAGGTCCTCACCGTCTGACTGAGGGTGACAGCCAGGGAAGCACAGCGGGCCCTGCACAGCTGCTCTCAGTCCTCGCTGAGGAGCAACAGAGAAGCTTGCACGTAATCCAGACCTGACATTCCAGGCAGAGGGCTCTCCCACGTGGGGGCTTTACTGGGATTCATTAAAATGCAAAGAAGTATTACGTGGGTTAATTAGGCATTGCCAAAAGTTTGTAAAATGATGTTTTTAAAAAGCATACTTCAAATAATATCTATGGTTTGGCAATAAGACAAGAATTTTGCATGCTTCTAAGTAAGTTTTGATTGCTAACTAGGAATTCCTGACACCTCCCTATAAAAGTCAACTCTGAGAGAAGGTGGGGTGCAAACGCTGAAACAAAGACTTTCCCCTTCTATGGAAAATTTTGCAACAAGACTATTACCAAGGTATTTTGGTGACTGTTGAGATCTTTAATACTGAAAACGAACACTGAGTATGTTTATGGGAAGAGGAAAGACGACTACCCCTGGAGAGAAACCCCTGCGGCCCCCGCCTGAGGGATGGGTGAGGAGGGGTGGGGCCAGGTACCTTCACTAGGAGGGGCGAGGGCTTCATGCCGAGACCTGGGCAGCAGGCGGAGCAGGTGTAGGTACTGCGGGGACGGGATGGCCACAGAGCACGTGTGGTTGGCTATGGGCAAGATTCTCAGAGTCCAGTTAAACCAGGGCCCTTTCCTCTTACAGGAAGAGCCTGTGGCCTGCTAGGTGCCCTGACAACAGACAGTGGTCCTTCAGGGGCCCCAGGGGGAGGTGCCCTCAGTGTGTCCCCTATGGATGGACACCACCATTGCCTGGGCGGTCTGTGGTCCTGGCTCACAAATAAGCTCAGCAGCTGTTTTTATAGTAAAATGATGCAAACATTACCGCACAGCTTCAGTGCCCTTCTCACCCAATCACCGCCCATCTCTGCAAGTCTCCAGAGATGACCTTGGCAAGTCACATGCCAGGTCAGTGCTGCAGGCGCTGGTGCCGACCGCGTCCCCAGGACGACTTTGAGTGTTGGAGACGTGGCAGTGAGGCGCCGCTGCATGTTCACATACCACCAGCGAGACACAGAGGTGCCCACACCGGGCACATGCATGGAGACATATCATGCTCTTCAGGGATGTTTATCTTTCTTCAGCTCCTGCAGGTCGGGGACAACCTGGTCTAGGTACCCTTCTCTCCTTTCCTTAGGGTAAATCCCTAAGGCAGAACACAAACAAGCCGACGGTTCAGATTCTAGGAAGAAAGACGATTCCCTTATGGAAATCTTGGATTCAGTCAGAAGGTGCAAAAATGAATCAGGTACACAGGCCATGTGGGGACCAGCTATTTGTTCCCCAGTTTTGAAACATAGAGTGTTAAGAGTTTTTCAAAGATATGGTGAAATACTTATCACCAAGCAAGTAGCTACAACCTGACAGAGGGGTTTCTCTTTTCTGGGCACCAGTAAATAATGGGCATTTCTATAAACAAAGAAAGTAAATGCTAATAAATAGTCCTGTATTTAAATACCAGTACATCGGAACAATATGCCACTGGAAACTGCACGGTTCAAAACAGGCTTTCTCTGGCCCCCCGGGACCATGCCGTCCGGGCAGAGTCCCTGAGTCTTTGATCATAGTACCTTTACCGAACAACAAAGCAGACCCGGAGCAAACGTCTGTGGGAGGGAAAAGGGTTCCAAGCGACTCTGGTTATGGCGGTGTGTGGATGGCAGCACCAGGCCCACGAGGCTTCCAGGTTTCCACTCAGAAGGTTCCGGCTCCTCATGATCCATCTGTGCTCTCTCTTCTCTACAAGAGCATGTGCCCTTTATCACCCTGCGTGTCAAAGGGACTGCTACTGGGACACGTGAGTGACTAGAAGGGTAACAGAAGGATTCTGAGTACATGTAGGAAAAGCTGGGTAGGAGCAGAGTGAAGCACTGTCGGAGAGATTGAGGCAAGAGTAAACCCGGTCCCTCTGCATATGCGATCACACATTCCTTGGCTCTCCACTCACTGCTTGTGTGGACCACTTTTTACTTTTGGATGTAAAGAATCAGTATCCCATTGTTAGACAACTGCAGTCCCTTTTCCTGTTATTTTGTTTCGATTAAAGGAAGAACAGCAGGGGTTCCATTTCAACACTATTTTCTTAGGAAGACCCGTGGAGTCTTACAACCATGCTTATATATATGTAAAAGGACCTAATTCCACGATAGCAGGGTATTGATGGGAGAGATGATTCTGGATTCCTAGACTAGACTCTGTGGGGCCCAGGTAACACTTTTCCACTGCCACAGGCCCTGCCCGTCAGTCATCGCCACCGCCCGTCAGAGAACAAAACGACCCTGCTGTCATCTCTCCTCGACCTTCCATGGCAAGGGGACCCCACGTCCCCTTCTTCCTTGGCTGGGACAGAATCAACACTTCCAGCACGCTGATGCCCCTCCCAGGCTCAGCGACCCCTATGCCCTGCCCTGCCTCTGGCAGGGTGGGGCTCCCCGTGACAGGCCCCGCGCACGCATGGCCGCTGCAGTGGGGCCCCCTGTCTCCCAGGCTGTACCTCTTACTTGACCTTCTATGAGAGCACAGCCCCACCTCTGTGACTGGGCAGGATTCACATGTAAAGGCTCACGTTAACTCTGGCTAGAGTTGACTCAACTACAAAGTTTGTCCAGTTAAGTGTTTCACAATGATTGAATTGTTTAAACCTTAAAGAAAAGTGTGACAGCTGATTGGAGGAAACATAAAACAACTGAGCAGAGTGCAAACGATAGAAAACTGCAGGGGAAGTGAGACACAATTCGTTCTGAAGTCATGATCCCCTCCCCGTCAGAAAAAGGTGCATTAGCGATCAAGTAGCAAAAACCATCAGAGCAAAGGAATCCAGAGCAAAGAGACAGTTGGTAGAGAAACTAACAAAAATATACAATAGAAAAGGTTACTAATGCACCGTTTAGTCACAGACTTTTTTAAATATATTCATGGGTTTACCAGAAGGACCTTGAAAAACTGTTTTGCTCCATGACCAGCACTTCCTGGTCCCAGGGGAGCTCTAAGTGACCTTTGGCTTAATGCTCGGGGTCCCTGGCCGGTGATCTTTCCGCTCTGACACGTTGCGCTTCACCTTGGCCGTGATGGGCGCTGAGTCTGGGTTCAGCGAGGGGCTGGAGTGGGACTTCTTCAGGCTGGCGGCCTCGCTCACCCTGCTGTGCAGCAGCTCCCTGCCTCCTTCCCTCAGGAGGCGGACATAAATGTCATAGCGGGTTTTCTGCAGAGAAAGCACAACTGCACATGAGTTTCTGATGCTTTCCTCAAATTCCTGTTTTCATCATCAACTATCTACTGAGTATCTACTGCTTCAGACAGCTCCGTGACTCCCGCCAAGGGTGACTCTTTCTTCAGAAGAATGAGAACACTGCGACGATGTCTTTTTCTCTAACCCTGATGGGTGCTGTTTTGTTTTGTTTTCTTTAAAGTTTCTATCTGAGTGACTATATAGAACTGTTAAGTATATATTGCAAATTACAGACAGGTTTCAGATTCTTGGTTTGATAGATTCTAGTCAAAGTAAGTCTTTCACCACACTGCGTCAACACAGGGAGGATTTAGAGACGGCCTAAAATATTTTATTTCTAAACCAAAGAACATGTCAGTTATAATTGTCCAAACAAAAGGCAAATTGTATTATAAATCTGTAAGGGATTTTTTTTAGTCAGATTAAGATTCTTCTTATCTCAGTTTTAAGTCAGTAATTATGAAGCTGAAGATCCTCGAAGCTACTCTTTTAAGTTGTTTTATCTGCAAGTAGGGAAGAGTGGCTGGTCACTAAGCTGGCTCTGGGCTTGGTCAGTATCTGTGTGGGGGCACCAAGCTGCGCTCTGTGGTGTCGGTGCATTACAGAGGCCTATGTGCTGACTTTAGGTCACTGAAACAATAACTACAGGCAATGGATACACTATGATCCCTGTTGTACAGTGAAGGAAACAAAGGCAGGGAGGAATCCGAAGTTGGAGGTAACGAAAAGGTGAAGCTGGGTTGAACTCAGGAAATCTGACTCTAGAACCCATGTGCACTTAGCTGTACTTCCTCCCTGGGTATGAAAATGTATAAAGGAATGTATATTTTAGTATAACACCCTGACAGACACTGTTGGTTTGGCCAGTCAAAAGCCATTGTCAACCCTCTCATCTCCTACAAGGGTTGACAAAACCCAAATACCTACTTCCCAGTCCTTCATGTGTCCAAGGTGGGGGCCATGCGATACTCTGGCCAATGAGGTGTGTAAGGAGACGTGCCTGGGGGGTTCTGGGGAAGCCATGTGCCTCTGATAAAGGGGCGGGCTGTAGAGGAGAGGCCATCTGCTAGGCCACCACTCTCCCTTCTTCCTCAACAGGCATGTGATTCCTAACCCTGTACTGTGACCCAGGGTGGCAGGCACCAGGCTGGAAGGACACCATGCTAAGCCTGAGGACAGATGGAAAGACAGAAGGAGCCTGGTTCTTGACACAGAGAGCCGGACCCAGCTCTCCCATTCCCCACTACCTCTGAAGACCATGTTGAGGATGAATGGGAAGTAAACATCCTTAAGGGTAAAGCCACTTCCTCAAACTGTTACTTGCACTGGAAGCATTACTAATTACCAATTTTAATAAAGAAGTGAAAAAGTTACAGAACAAAATAAGCTTGTCTGAGAAGGCTACATATGGGTTTAATAAGGACACCTGCTAATCAAATACGTCATCAGTATCACTCATCAGTCTATCTATCAGTGAAACCAGGGGGCTGACCTGGAGAGCAACCCAGCAGCACAGTGCTAGAGTCCTATCCATCTGTGAACAGAGGCATGGAGTGAACAGACACTGAGGGTGAACTAAAGTAGACTCGGGGGCTATTAAGGAAGCAGGGTCTATGCCCCTTCTCTGCATTCTGTCAATCATAAACATCCTGGATGAATGCCCACTGCCTGCAACCCAGTGGATTTGCTTAGTGAATAACCTCAGCAACCAAGTGTATACAGCCAGATGTGAGTTACAACAGCTTTAGCCAATCAGAATCTTTCAAAACAACTAAGGTAAGCCCCCTCAGAGCTCCCCTTTTTGCTTCTAAAACCTTAAGCTCTTCCCCTCTGCAGAGGGGTTGCCTCCCAAGGCTATGTTCCTGGATTGCAACCCCTGAGACCCCAGATACACGCAACTAACTGTTTTATACTTTGTCTTTTTTTGGTTGACACATTCTAGGAATTTATTACTTAATCTGTCTCTAACCTGCGTGGTAGCAAGATCAAAAGGCAGGGAAGAACTATTCCCAGTATGAACAAGACTTAGTAAAATGATCTGAAGGCAGTTTAAGAATAGACCCAGGAAGTCAGTGAAGTGCTTACTGTTCCAAGAAGCTGGGGCAGTCATGCAGTGGGAGGTGTGCAGAGGCCAATCTGAGATGGCTTGAAAGTGGACAAAAAGGCAGAGGGTGATGGGGCCTATTTTCAACTGACCTTTGAAGAAACTGATACTACAGGGAAAATTCGGGAGAACACATGAAGGCCACCATTTCAACCACTCAGTCTACCACTCCAGCTGCTAAGCTGTTGTCTTGAAAATGCATCAGTATGTCAATCAACAAACAAAAGGCACAGCATGGAGGAGTGGCAGATAGGAGCCCTTAGAGGAAAAGACAAAGCAAAGCAAAGGTAGAAAGGAGGCCAGGAAATGGGCAGTGCTCGGTGGTTGTTAAGGAAAACAAGGAAAAGGCTTTATGAACTTCCACATGGTTGTGCTCTATTTCTGAGTTAGCAAGCGGACAGGGACAGAGCTCCCTACACCCATTGCCACAGATTTGCTTTTTACCCTTTCCTGAAACCAAAGCAAGTGCGTCTGCAAAATTTTTTTGGAAAACTTATCTTGACCTCAGAACTATTCATGAGAACTACATTCAGGCACACCCTTCAGGGATTAGAGACCTATTCAAGCATGTGCATCTGTCCAGGGCCTCTGGGGCCAAAGACAACCGCGTCTGGGTGAAGAAGAACAGCTGTGCACAGCGCCTTGAAGAGCACCAGGAACAAGCACGACTGCAAAGGTCCCTCCCTGGTGCCCCGCTGGGCCTTCTGCTTGGGGAGAGGGAGGGCCTGGCTTCTTCCTCCCTTTCACAGAAGACATGATTCTTATCTTTTTTTTTTAAACCAAGTGTGAAACTTAAATTTTAAGTTAAAGCTGGTGTGTATGGAAAAGCAAAGAAACAGGAGGAAATGTATTTATAAATCACTTTTAAAAATATCTGATGGTGATCATGTTCAAAAGGTCAGTCTTGGCCGAAGCAGCCTCTTTCCTGCAAAGAGAACTGTGATTTTCATTGAGGATGTCAGTGTGCCGGAGAGGAATCATAGTTTAACCCTTGCCCCTCGGCAGTCAGCCCTGTAGCCAGGCAGCCTGGATTTGGACAAACACATAAGTAGAAGTCGACTAGGGTATTTTTGTGGAAGCAGCTCCTATTACCCTGATAACAGGTGGTAGACCAAATGTCTGGAGCTGTGGCAGCCATTTTGGGGCCACAAAACAAAAACCATGAAAACAGAAAAGCCAGTGTGCTAGGGACAGCAGCAAATCAGAAATTTAGGAATGACGTACATTCTTGATGGCAACACCAGCATGCGGTAACCACCCACTTCCATTTTCCTTATGTGAGATAAGGAATGTTTATACTGTTTAAACACTTAGCCAAGTTTTCTGTTATTTGCAGCCCAAAGCATTTTTCACCAGAAATGGTCAACACTCATTAGTGAGCTTTGTCTTGCTCATTAAAAAAAACAAAAACCCAACTGAGTTGTATATGCACCTCCTGTCTTAATTTTATTTAAGAAAAAATATGCTTGATTTAATAGACTTTGGAGTGAGTAACTTTGTCAGGTCTTCTCTGAATAGTCAACAAATTATTGATGGATATTATTCCACTACAGGCCAATTAATGGCTATTTTATGATTTGCATTCATAGTTTTATATCAATTGCTTAATCTCCGTGGGAGCCGGAGCGAGTCCTGATCCTTCCCTGTAAGCCTACAACACGCAGGGAATCTAAGAGATTCTAAAATGAAGTAAAAATAGAGAGCTCTAAGCTGGATTTGGGGAATAACTACTTTCTTAGTACTTATGGAGCAGGCTCAAGAGACTTCCGACGTCCCGAGGAAGAGGGCCGTCTGCTGCAGGCGACGGGAGCGCAGGTCGGCCCAGCTCAGAAGAGCTTCTCATCTGCAGCGACAAATCCTTCCCTGCCCGAAATCCTTAAAATGACGCAGAAGTCCCTCACCTCCCAGCCCAGTCTCACCCCCGGGGTCCTCACTGCGTGGTCGTGGCCTCCGGGCCATCCTTGAGGGCAGCAGATGTTCCTGCCGAGGGTCCTGTCCCTGCAGTGTCCCTGCCTAGCCCAACGCGCTTCCCGGCTCCCCGCCTCCTTTGTTGCCAGTCCAACACCCCCTTGCGCGAGGCCTGTCCTCCCTCCCACCGGAAGCTGCGCTGCTGCTCCCCGCCTCTCCCCGCCTCCCTTTTCTCGAGTCAGTACCTCTCAGCATCCACCTGGAGTTGTATCAGGGAGGAACCTTGTTTACGTAATCCCGCCAGCACTAGCATGTGACCGCAGGGGCAGAGGGCTTTGCTTTTGTTTGCTAACAGACAGCACCCAGCACACACTGCACGAATGTTTGTTGAAGGTATGAATGGAAAGAAGGGACAAATGTGAGAAAAAAATTCTCATAACTAGTAGGAAACATATTTTGAACTCCCAATATGGCAAATTCTAGAAAAATATAAAAATAACATGGATACAGACGTGGAGATAGGTGCCTAATAAGTTCCTAAGTCAGTAAAGTAACCCTTGGGAACGTGCTACCTTCAGGATTCCCCTTTTCCTACAGTTCCCACAGAAACCCTGAAGCCTGGCCCTGGGTGGCAGTGAAGAGCTAGGGAGCCACCACCCAGCAAAGCCTGGTGTGTGTTCTCTCTGCACAGCCACATCCACTTGGAGACACCACACCTGGCGATCCCTGACCCGTGCACTGAAGGGCAGGCTGGCTTTAAGTAATTCATACCTTAGCTTTGGTGTTCAAAAAACAGAGACATCATTTCTGAGTATGTCTTATGTAGCAGTAAATGAAGACCACATTTTATCACCCACTCTGAGGTTAAAAACAAAGTGAGCGACTGGACCGCTGTGTGTGGAGTATGGTGGCCCTCTGGTTGGAGAGTTACTGGGTCTCATTCTCCCCTGGAGAGCAGCCC